AATGGGGTTTGTGGGGGGGACTTGGGGTAGGGGAGAGCCTAGTAAACATAATGTTCTTCATGTAATTGTAGATTAATGATACCAAAATTTTAAAAAATAAAAAAAATAAAGATGCAGTGGCAACAGAAACAAACAAAAAAAAAAACATTGTTTTAAAAACCAGAAGTTTCTGAGCCTAGACAATAAAAGATTAATTGGACACATGGCAGCTATCCTCAAATACATTTTTTTTAACAATTCTGTATAGTTTCAGAAACAACGGGTATAGGTACAAGTAGGCAGATAAAAGCTCCACTGTTTCACAACTTTACAAGCTACTTTGGAAGGTGAAGCATCTGTCAAGACTACTGTAGATGAGACTCTGGGGGTGGGAGAGGAAGCGGACTCCATGGCCTGTGCCTCAGCATTTGCTCCGACTCCGATCCAGCATACTGCAAGCAGGACTTCTAACTGCGAGTCTACTAATCTCCTCTAACTTCTCACCTAAACCTAAGGGCAACAACTATCCTCTGGGCCCACATAATACAGCTTCCTGTTACTGATTCCTTATACTCCACCTATGCCAAAGTCCCTCCCATTACCAAAGGTGAAACAGCTGACTGAAGGGGCATGCAGCAGCCAAGAAGAGGTGAGAGATGGAATCAAGACTGTGGGTGCAGGAGAGCATAGGTGTAATGAAGACCTCACACTGAGGAGAAACTTGAGCTGTACTGGGCAGCCATCTTAATTGGCAAGTAAGAGCAGGCAACCAGGACTGAGCACAGCATATTGGAGGGCAAAGGCCTCTGGAAGAAATGAAATGATAAAAACCTAGCACTGAATAACTCTACTTTGAGGAAATGTATAGGCCAGGACTGAGAATTCTGCAATTAGTAATAAGGACTCTGAACAAAGAAACAGTTATGTCCAGCCTAGGTGGGACAGGATGGGACTGGCAAAGTGGGAGACATATGGCAGATGCGGGCCAGGCCCAACACAATTCTCCTATTAGCACTATTCAAGGGAGAGGACCCTGTACTCCAACATCAAGGCCCACTGTGTGCACTTTAAAGAAAGAATGGCATGTCATTGAAAACCATATTTCTAACCTAAACATCCATCAACAGGGCATAGAATACATAAATTATAGCATATCAAACCAAAGTAATACTGGAGTGTTGGTTAACATTAATCACAAAGTTTTACAGACAGGCTTTGTGTATCTTAAAAGCAGGATTACATTTATTTAATAAATAAATAAAGGGAAGCATACCAGCTCGATCCATGAGTTTATACTGACGGTGACTGGATCAATGGATTCTACATAATGCCACCAATGTCTGGGAACAAACAGAACCTGAGAAACCAAACAGAAAACACTTAGCATAAGAATAAGACATTTTGTTTTTATGTCAGAAACGGATAGTAACTGAAGCTGCTGGGTAAAAAAAGAAATATGAAAGGATATAGTAATGTTGTTGTAGGGAAAAAAAACCCCCACAATCTTCTTATTCCTTTTTTTCTTGACAAGTTTGCCATGTTCTACAAAGGATATTACCAGCTTCTTTAATCTCTACTCTTCTGAATCCCAGACCTTTCTGTCTGCATTTAATCTTAGTAAAGGATTCTGAGATTCTAACTTTCCCTCCTTTCCACTAAAAAAGTTACCTGCATTCTGAGAAAGAGCATAGGTAAAAACATAGGATATGGTTTCTGTGTTCTTACAGTCTAAAATCTAGCCAATAAAAAAATAATGTATAGAAAGGGGGCAGGGGCAACCTGGGTGGAGAAGTATGATTTACGCCAGGGCTTGGCGAGAACTTGGACAAGAGAAAAGAATGAGGACATGCCAGGAGGGAGAAGTGGCACAGGCAAGGGGTGTGGGCCTGTTGAGGGACAGCAGGTAGTGAATCTTACAGAAGAAGTAATGAGAGATAAGGTGGGAGAATTAGGTTAGGGCCAGTGGAAGGCCTGACTTCAGAATAAACATCTGGATTTTATCCTATAGGCATCTGCTAAGAAATTTTGAGTAAGGGGATGGCTAAAATAGTGATATTATGGGAGAGTCTGGGAAGGACAGGAGATTCTTGTGATGGTCTAGTGACTGTATGTTAAGATCTAAATAGGAAGGTATAGTGAACAAAAGCAACAGTCAGAGTCAAGAAGGATCATATTTGTCCAAACTCAATAGGAGATTTCCTATGGAAGGCTAAGAAGAGCAAATTAGATAATCCAAAGTTTTTGGGCTTTGAATTAGAAAACTGGTGGCACTTGCTATGAAAAAGGTGGATCTGGGAGATGGGAAGAGAGCTCCTTTTAGGAGAGCTGAACACTAAAAAGAGTCATAGGATTTAGACATTGGGAGGTCATGAATGTCCTATCAACATGTGTTTTCAGTAAGGTGGTAAGACAGGGGGCCAGCTATTGGTGGCTTAAGGAATGAGTAGGATATGCAATAAATAGAGGCGCTCATTCAAATTTGGCTACTAAAATAGAAGAAATGAATTAGCAACCACTTCACATCAACTAGAATGGCAATAATAACAATAATAATGGAAAGTAACAAGTGTTAGGATGTGAAGAAACTAGACCCCTCACACATTGCTCGTGGAAATGTGAAATGGTGTAGCTGTTGTGGAAAACAGTTTGGCAGTTCCTCAAAAAGTGAAAAACAGCTGTCATATGACCCAGCAATTTGACTCCTAGACATATACCCAAGAGAACTGAAAACATGTCCTCACAAAACTTATACATGAATGTTCATAGCAGCATTATTCAAAATAGCCAAAAGTAGAAATAACCCAAATGCCCATTAATAGATGAATGGATAAACAAAATGCATATCCATACAAAGGAATACATTTAGCCATAAAGAGGAATGAAGTACTGGTAAGATTCCACAGAATGGCTGAACCTTGACACATAATGTGAAAGAAGCCAGACACACAGGCCATACACTGACATGTGCACTCGTATGAAATGTCCAGCATCAGTCAATCTGTAGAGAGATGAAATAGATGAGTGGTTGTCAGGAGCTGGTGGGGGGTGGGGTGCATAGGTGGACAGGGAGAGACTGATAATGAGTCAAAGCAACTTGGGCACGTGAAATTGTTTGAGCTGGAGTACTCCAGGGTGAAGGAAGTGGGAAAAGAGCTGGTGAGAAGGGAGCCAAGGGAAACAGGTAGGGGAAAGGATAATCACGGGAGTAAAACTCCACAAGAGACTAAGAAAACTTCTCAAACTATTAATAAGCTATCAGACAGAAAATGCCAATGTTGTAAAGGTGATTTTCCCCAGTGTGCAGCAGCACTAGGTACAGTATCTTTGGAAATCTTTCAGAGACAGTCATTTATAAAAGTAACATCCATTCTTGCTTAAAAGCACATCAGTCTCAGTTCACTGTACCTCTGTGGGCCCACCACCTGGATGCCTGCCAGTCTGCATTTATGTGTTTGGGTTCTGGCACAGGCGAACATATATTGACTGTGAATAAATGTTCCAGAGATGCTCAAGCACCCATGCCTGACACTGTCTTCTAAGCGTGACTGGGTGTTCGCGTTCCTCCAAAGTCCATTCTCCTGTTCACCAGCAGGAGGAGCTGCGTTCCCTCCTCCCTCTCCTTCCCTTGCCCTGTGAAACTGAGAAGTGTGCGTCTGTGGCCTACACCTGGGGAGCTACCTTTCAATAGCTGGGCAGCTGGGAAGAAAACCATTCTCACTTGTAGTGGTGGCTACGTGGCATGAATGCTTGAGAGAAGTTACAGCAGGGGTGTCCACTGACAGGTCATCAGTGTTTCAAAGACTCCGTTACCTGTCCTGGGCTCAGCGTAACCATGTGTCTTCGAGCTTTCCAGAACTGGGGAAAACGTTTTAAATCAGGATTGACAACATTGACTTTACTGAACACGCTGGATTCTTCGTAAGGGATTCTAGTTGGATAAAGGAAAGGAGTATCTTCAGGAGGAAAAAGATGCCATCTTTTCCTAAGTAAAAAAATAAGATACAAGTTAGTACTTTGAACTTGAGATAAAACATTTAAGAAGGTAGCAGCTAAGTGTTCCATTTTACTCATTTCATTTAATCCATAAAGGAATACGGGAGCAATCTCAGAGTCATCTGGCCCATCTCTCTCTCTCTCTCTCTCTCACTCAGTGCTGGAGTCTTCTCTGCAGACACCTGGTATATGTAGGGCAGCAACAACTGGATACCTCATGATGCCCCTTTGCAGAATCTAGTTTGTCAGATCATTCTTTCTTATCTCAAATCAAAGTCTGCCTCCTCTAGTTTCTATCCCTGACTCTAGAGCTATGCAGAATAACTCCTCCCCGTTCAAATATCTGTACTCTTATCTTATGCAGAGCAACCACCATCAAAAAGGTTTGATGCAGAGCAACCACTATCAAAAAGGTTATATCCATCAAAAGGTTTCCAGACCTGTTTGGGTTATAAATTGCTTCAGTTAAACATTTATTAACTCATTAGGGAAGAGAAATGAACAAATGATGGCACCCAACTAAAAAGTAGTATAATACAGGAATTTTCAAAAAGAGAAACCTATAAAACGGTTCAGTCATTTAAAAACTTTTTGAGAAACGGAGGTGATCTTAAATCATAAAATGCTACACACGTCCACACTTTGAGCCAACAGAGGAAGGACATCTGCAGCAAAGGAGGGAGAAGTGTGAAAAAGGAAGAGACACAGACGGGCAGAAATACAGATGAGGAAGCAAGGAGGAGCAAGAAAACCTCCTAGTTCTGGGAAGAGCCCTGAAGCCCTCCACTGACCCCTGCAGTTTCAGTGGGGTCATCATGTCCTTGTAGAACAGGGAAGCACTTGGCCGCTATTTTCAAACTAAGAAGGCTTATTTTGCCTTAGAGATGATAAAGCTGCTCCATTGACTGTGACTAGCTGGGGAGAAGTTTCAGCATTTAATACGTTTAGGAAGTTAGAGCTGGAAGGACTCCCCAGAGATTATCTACTTTTATTTTCAAAGCAGCGCAAGAGGGAGCCAGTGCTTGCTCAGTGTCACTCACTGGGCTACTGGTTCATGGGGGGCCCAGAACTAGGTCACAGATCTCCTGACCTCTCCAGGTCCCAGTTCTACCTCTGTACCAGAGCTGTGTTTCCCGAAGAAGGGCCATATGAAAACCATCCCATACTGTTTGCTTGGCATGGTTTAAAATGTAATTTATATGCATCCTTCTTTTGTTAATCAGAAATGGTGGGTAATCACCATGTCATCCCCTGCTTACAGTTCTGCCTGCTGAAGGAGCAGAGAATAAGCAGTATTTGCCTGGAAGTCAAGACCCTCAGGCTCCAACCTGCCTTTCCTGCCTGATCCCTCTGTCTCCAATGCATGACTTAAATGGCACAGCTCACAAGGTTCTCTGTACACCCCATGCTTTCCTGGGGTTCTGCTCATGCTGGCGTCTCTGCTCCTCCCTGTTGTTTGAACATTCACCCATCCTTCCAAGCCCATCACAAACGGCAGCTCCTCTCTAAAATCTCCCCTAATCTTTCCAACAGGAATGCTCCCTTCTCCTTTTCCACTCCACAGCCCCATGAAACCTTCAAAAAAAAAAAAAAAAGGAATTGAGCTGGAAAAACACTGCCAAAAAGAAATACCTAGGTTCTTCCTATGATATAAAATTAATATAGCTTTATTTTAACTTTGTAATAGAGCATATTTTCTGGCCTTATATATCTCTGAAGTAATAGCATAAGTATCAGTAAATATTCATTAGTATCCTGCTGTGGCAGGTACCATGTCTTTCAGTGGGAGGGAGGTTGAATGAGTAAGACCCTCTGCCCTAGGAGAGCTTAGAGGTAGGCAAGCCCACAGGGAGCCCTGGCACAAGGCAGAATGCTTTTCCAGCTCAATTTCTTTTGCTTATTTCCCAATTCAGAACACATGGAAAGCAGCTATTCAAATGAGGCCTTCTCTCACCAAGTTTAAGGTTCAGACTGTTACCTCCATAAGGGCACATTTGACTGGTGCTGCATCCACAGCACATAGTAAGTACCTGAGACATTCTGGGCCCTTTAATGAAGACTTGATAAATCAAGGAATGGACTATCTTATACCATTTTATAGTTTTCAAATTATTTCACATGTAAAATCTATTCACATAATTATTATTTCTCTTGGATCCACTCATAATCCTTTTCCTGTCTAAAGAGTCTGAGAACTTAGACACATTTCTGCTTTTCCCTCTGTGCTGTCCTGTAAATGTCCCAAAAGGCCAGGAAAGGCCATCGTTAATTAGGGGGAAGTAAGGCTGCACATACTACATTCTGAGTACATCCTCCAAGTGGCAAAAACACTGACACTCTCACATAACCCCTGGAACCAGGGACTATCAAAAGTATTACCTGACCTAGACTTGTATCTCTTTGGGTCCACAGGCAGATGGAGACATGACTGACTTAAGGCAGTAAGATGCTGCATTGCGTCTACATGTCTGCTTTTGTCTACATGCAGACACAAACAAAACTTAGGGTTGAAAGGGGCTGTAAATACCATCTGGTCCAGGAGCTCTCAAACCAGGCTCCCTGGTCTCCCCTCAGGGGCCGGAAGGTAGCAGCAAAGCCTCTTCCTTTCCACAAACTGCTTGGCTCTTATTTATTATTACTACTACAAATGTGGACTTTTATGTAACAGAGCTAAGCAGACAACTGTCTGGTTGAACTGAGCGTGGAATCCTGGAGTTCTAGGATCAGCTTTCTGAAAGTAAGTAACCCTGAAAATGGCTCAGACACCAACATGGAAACTACCATTTAACGGTTCCTCTTACTTCACAAAGGAGGAAACTGAACCACAGGTTAAAACATCTGCCCTGGTCATAAGAGCAGGCAGACAGACAGGATGGAGCTGGGACTAACCCTCAGGGTTCTGCTGCCTATCCGATACTCATTCCTCTTGCTGTGCAACACACACCACACACACACATATGCATGCGCCTGTGCTTACCTTCCTTGTACCTGGAATACTAAATTGCAACCATAGGAATCCAGATGACAGGGTGTATGGGCCCCCCTGGAGCCGATCCATAAGGTACTTTCCTGTCCATTTCTTCCAGGAAACCCAAAGTCAGACCACCTCACATCCTGTTTTGAAAATAAAGTTACAGTCCATCAAGAACCGCACTCTACGACATGGTAGCGTTCCACAGCTTCACTTGCACATCTGGTTGTTGGCTCTCAGAATATTCTCTTAAAGAAAATGCCATAGATGGAGGAGGTTTGGTTTCCAGAGGAGTCCAAGAAATCTTTTTAACCAATAACATGTGATTTACCTCATTAACAGTAGTTATTCAACAAATACTAATCAGTGTTTACAAGATGCCAGGCAAGGTTCTAAAAGCTTGAGATGAATCAATGAATAAAATATGACAAAAATGCCCACCCAAATGAAACTTATATTTCAGAGGTTGGAAACAGACAATAAATAACATACACAATTATGCCGATATCTCAGGGAAGAGAAACAGTGGCAGCAGGAACAGTGACTGTAATGGAAATGGAAGTATTTAAAGAATCTCGGAAGCTCAACTCAGAGAGCCAGAAAGCCATATTCCCTCCAAGCAGTACAGATATTTCTGGGCATTAAGTAACATACTAACTTTCTGCACTTTAATGATCATGAAGAAGCAGCCTTCTCCTGGTTTTAGCAAAGTTATTTAAAACTACAAACGCTGGCAGGAGCCTTAGTTCATACCTACTAAATCAGTCTCTAGGTGGGGGTGACATAGTTATCTTTTGAAATTCGTATCCATAGATGACTTCTGCTATGCTCCCTGAAGTCATGAACTCTTTCAGTGTAATGAACTTCAAAACAGAGATAGCACAGTGCTCTGGACTTAGCTCTCTGTATACCTGGTTCTGTGGACAGATCATGCCCAAGTCAACCACTGATCCATAAATACCACCTGTTTCAATAGTTCTCTAATCGGGCTTCCTGGCATCCCTTAGGGGCCTGAGGCTACCAGCAGAAGCTTTTCCTTTCAACAAACTGTTCTGCTCCTGCTCTATTTTATTAGGTTTGAAGAAAGAGTGTTCCTACTTCTACATAAAAGTTGGAAAAGTACAAATGTGGTTTGACAAACTCAAATCCATGGCAAAGTATGTATAAGCTAGAAAGAAAAAGAACATACTAGTGAACCAGACATGAAGGTTTTACTTTACTTTTCAATAATAAATTCTTCCTATTGAGTTCTAAAAAAATAAAACAAAAAGATATTTATATGTGCAGAACTTGGTCCTAAATGCTGACTTCTTTTATCAGTATCTTCTATCTGTATTTTCTATTGTTAGAGGCAAAACATTAACAGCTGTATTCAAAAAGAAAGAGGACTTTGGAGAAACATTTTGAGGAAGAATAGAAAAGCATTTTCACTTTTGCCTTGAGTGATAAAAATAGTGGAATATGTGCACATAACGCTTGTTTCAGAAAGGGGGAGTTTTTGCAATGTCAGCATGATTGTACATGCACAGGGCTCACATGCAACAGCTCTAGGAGGTGGAGAAAATCATGTCCCTTCTGAATATAGGCCATAAGCTCCATGCAGGGAGCTTACATATGTATTCCCAATGCCTAACATAATACTTGACTCAGGGTAAGCACTTAAAACATTGGCTGTCTGGGAGGAAAGAAGAATCTGTTGGTTTATTATGGGTAAGTGGTTTGGGTGAAGAACATTTTTGAGCAACTACCACATACCTGTTATGACGGAGGGTGTTTGGAATACAAAAATTAATGTAACATGGGCCCACCCTGCATATCTAACAATGGAAGATAGTCTCATAAATGAGCCTTTTCATTATAATATGGCAAGTGCTCTTATAAAAGGCAGAAGATGCTCTCAGATCAAAGGAGGGCTCCTGGTTGAAGCAGGGAGCTTAGGAGAGGTTTCCAATTAACCTGGTCTTTGTTTGCCATTCATCACATCTCAGCTTGGAATTTAACTAAAATGCAGCTGAAAGACTTGCAGTATAAAAACAAAAAATGGGGATTTGCCTAATGAATCTAGTAAATGTCAACACCCCTCTCCTCAGAGAAATGCACGCACACACAATTTCACATATACTTTGAGGGAGTCGATGGACTGACCCCAGGTGAGACTCTTCTAAAGCACTGCTTCAGAAAGAATCGCTGGATAATTTTATACAGGGTTGGGGATGACTATATGAGAAATGGACAAGAAGTTTCCCTGACCTCTTATCTAGCACAGTAGTTACTGAAAAAAGAAACATTATTTTGGAATGAGTAGATCAGGGTGACTTAAATTCAGCCTCCCCTGCAGTTAAGTTGGGCTGTGGGACTAAATTCTAACCATTAAGCAGAAGTTCTTGGGTGGGACTTTGGGAAGGTTCCTTAAAAAAGAGAGAGATTGCTGGGAGTCCACTTTTGTCCTTCCACCTTTCTGGAATATAGTTGTGTTAGTTGTGATGGCTATCTTAGAACGCAAGATGGCCTTGAGGATGGAAGCCATATGCTAAGAAAGATAGAGCAGAAAGACAGGAAGAATCTGGGTTCTTTGGTAGGACAAAGCTTCCATTCCAGCCCTGGCCAGGATACCTCCAAACTTTCCTTATATGAGGAAAAAAATCACCCTTATGTGTTGTGGGGCAACTTCTTCTATTCTTGGTTTTCTGTTATAAGCAATAAAGCCTAACCCAAACCAATTCAGGAGGTTAACCCATGGAATTCTGTCTTTCCCCAACAATCTCATTTTGTCAGAGCCTATATCTCAGGTATGTAGCAAGGCTAATCCCAAACCCTGTATCAGAGAAATGTATCCCTGAAGACACCTTGGGGTGAGAGTAGGGAGACTTCCGTGGTACCATTCTTTGAGTATATTACAAATTTAGTAGGCTGCCCCAGGCTGGCCTAGAGTACTAACCACCAAGATCAGCATTGTTGCTCCAGGAAAAACAAAACAAAACATGCTGAGTCCAAACAACTGAGATACAGATAAAATGCGCAGACCATAAGCAATGAAAATGGCAAAAAAAAAAAAACCCCAGAAGAGAAACAGAGCCAAAAGGTCTAGATAGTCAACTGTTTAATTAAAGGGTAAGACCATAGTTATTATGGAAGTGCTAATACAGGGCTGCAGTAATTTAGTAGTCCATTAGATATGCCAGTAATTCTAGAAGAAAACAGTATCACATCTTACCCCAGTACTTAAAGGAATTAACCAGGACTAATACCTCAATTAACCAACAGAATTCAGTCCTGCTTTTTCATCTTCCCCCACCTCTAACCTCAATGGTTTCCTATCAGCCCTGATTCTCAACCTATTCCCAGAATCTATCTGGGACACTTACCTGCAGTTGAAAGATGCCTGAGAGAAATGGAACGGAAATAATACATTACAGTGTTTCAAGATAAGACCAAGTATAGGACAGAGTCTGACCAGAATGAGCATTATAAGAAAATTCATTGTTCACTCATAGTTGGAAATGGTTGGCCAATGAAAATGAACTTTGTTTATAACACAAAAGTAAGGCAGGTACTTTATTTTCCTTCTTTCTTTGGATGGCCCTGCCTTGTCATGGTGTTCTGAACTATGTAATTTATAAATAATGATGGTTTTATTTCTTATGTATATAGAGGGATCAGATTTCTCAAATAAAAAATCAGGACACAAGGGATGACAAAGCTTTATTGTGCCACTTGTGAAGATAAAAGTTAGTTTAGGATATACTGCTTGAATACCAATATAATGGAATATTTAGAAGCAATATTTTTCCATTGCCTCGTTTTCTTTCTAAATTAATTTTATTGAGGTAAAATTTACTTACAATAAAATGCATCCAGTTTAGAGTACAGTTAACAAGTTTGTCAAATGTATACACCAGTGTAACCACCAGCATGATCAAGATATAGAATAATATATACTTCCATTGAACCAAGGAGATGAAAGACCTGTACTCTGACAACTAAAAATGTCCATATCATCCAAGCCATCTACAGATTCAATGCAGTCCCTACCAAAATACCAATGGCATTTTTCACAGAACTACAACAAAGAATCCTAAAATTTGTGTGGAAGCAGAAAAGACCCTGAAGAGCCCAAGCAATTCTGAGAAAGAGCAAAACTGGAGGTATCATGACCCCAACCCCTGATTTCAAAGTATACTACAGAGCTATAGTAATCAAAACAGTATGGTACTGGCATGAAAACAGATACATAGATCAATGGAATAGAGCGCCTAGGGAAAAAACGCACTCATATATGGCCAATTAACCTATGACAAAGGGGAAAAGATTGTCTCTTCAATAAACAGTGTTGGGAACACTGGACAGCTAAATTCAAAAGAATGAAACTGGACCACAATTACTACACCATATACAGAAACAAATTAAAAATGGATTAAAGGCTTGAATGTAAGACCTGAAACCACAAAACTCCTTGAAGAAAGCAGGCAGTAAAGCTCTATGACACCAGTCTTAGCAATTTTTTTTTTTTGGACCAGTGTTGTCAGCCCAGGGCAATAAAAGCTAAAATAAACAAATGGGATTACACCAAACTAAAAAGCTTTTGCACAGTGAAGGAAGCCATCAACAAAATGAAAAGGCAACCTAGTGATTCGGGAGAATATTTTGCAAATCATACATCTGACAAGGGGTTAATATCCAAACTACATAAAGAATTTACACAACTTCATATCAAAAATAACTCAATTAAAAAATGGGCAGAGGACTTGAAAAGACATTTTTTCCAAAGAAGACATACAGATGGCCAAAAGGAACATGAAAAGATGCTCAACATCACTATCTACCACAGAAATACAAATCAAAAACCACAATCGCCTCACACACATTAGACTGGCTATAACCAAAAAGAAAAAAGTTTAACAAGTGTTGGCAAGGATGTCGAGAGAAGGGAACCCTTCTGTACACTGTTGGTAGGAATGTAAACTGGTACAGTTACTATGGCGGTTCCTCAAAAAATTTGAAAAACTACCATATGATCTAGCAAGTCTACTTCTGGGTATCTGAAGAAAATGAAAACACCAATTGGAAGAGATATATGCTCTCCTATATTCACTGCAGCATTATTTACAATAGCCAAGATATAGAAGCAACCTAAGTGTCCATA